CATTTAAGGAGCACTGCTCATTTGGTGAGGTGGTTAAAGAGACTGTCAAACATTATATAAGACCACCTCCTGCTCCTCACATTGTGCAATATCATAATATTATTCTGTTTTAAAATAAAGAATTATCCCTCCATCTCAAAAACATCTTTTTACCAATTAGCGTTTCTATCATCATTCAGACCTTTTTGTCAAACACTGTTATTTGAAACATCAACACGATTAAAAGTAGCCCAGAATTAATTTAATTTGCCTCACTGGCTCGTTACGTGAGGCGACTCTTAACGTGATGAGTAAATGAATATTCCAATATGACAAGTTAAAATGATAAGGTCAGTGCTGCTGAACAAAGAGGGACCATTTTCTGTCATTCTACAAAGGACTAGATTACAGTCATGTTAAATAAACAATGAATTAGAGCGAGTGAACAAGAACAGATTGATTTGCTGTTAGCGGCATGGCAATTAATCTTACACCGCAAATGAGGGTACGGAGCAAAATACAAAGAATGAAAAAAAATACAATGAGCACCATTGTGAAAGCAGCATTGTTACATGGTATTGTCGAATATAGTGAGTGTAATGCACTGTCCTTATTACACACTTTGTCTTTGCCTGCCTAACGGAGGGTTCATACTTTGTCTTCAAATTTTATTTCCTTAAAAGAGGTACGACAATCTGCAAATTGGATAATTTAATTTGTTTCTTCCGCAGGTTTTTGTGAGAATATCAACATTGTAATGAGGCAGATAAGTCCATTAGCATAATGCCACTCAATTCAAGATGTGTTTCTCACTTTGGAAAAATAATTTCAGGAAAAAATCAAGATGTCAGAGTTCAGTTCTGGATTCAATTGGTTATTCATACAGACGTTTTTGTTTTTTTTTTTTGAAGAATTGCAATTTATTTGTGCCTTTGTAAGTTTTGCACTTGTACCATTTATGATTCCGGAGAGCGAAGGCATTTCTCATGAGCAAACATATCTGCACACACTTCTGTTAACATTTGGCACCACAGTGCACAACTTTAAATACTTCAGGGATAGGCATTTTTGTCTTAGCTGTGATATTTGACTATTTGGGCAAACATGCAAGAGTGTGCATCCCTGCATGCTCCCACCCCACCCACACACACACACACACACACACACACTCACATCCCCTTAACGAAGCCTCTTCTTCTCAACACACACCCATCCATCCAACCACACACACACGTACACTCATGTGGATATTATCAGCGGTGCTCAGCTGAGGCTCCAGGCCTGTCCGGTCCCCACGGCGTAGCGGTGACCAGGGAAGGAAGAGCTTATCTCGGCCCCAGGCCCCTCCCTCGGCCCCATGCCTTGGCTCCGGGAGCTGGGAGGCAGATGCCATGCAGGCCCCCAGTGTGGCGTGTTTCTGTGGCCAAAGCGTATAGCGTTTAATGCTTAAGGGACAAGCTTTTGAACTAGACAGTCCATCTTTCCTGTGTGTCTGTGTGGAAATGTGAGTGTTTGTGTGGGCCACATAGCAGATGGAGGTAAAGGCTTTTAGTATGACCAACTCCCTCTGGCCCACCTGGACCAGATCAGAGCATTTGGTACTCACACACACATACACACACACACACATATTGACACATGGACTTAAACCGGCTGTACTCCCTGGGTAATAATAAATGGGACTGAATTATTACCAGGTGTAGTGTTATTCCAGGAATATTTGCTTCCTTTATATTCATATGGCCATGATCAGTGGGATGTGGTGTTAAACCATGTGAAGATGGAGATGAGTATAATGAAGATGATGACTACAGAGATAAATCGGGCGATGCTGTGTGCAACAGTGAGGGCACTTCTTAAACCTAAATTCACGCCGTTTTTTAAACTGATTTCAGATAAAACCAATTCTCACGAGCAGCTGAGAGAATCAGCCACCTCCTCACATCTACAGCATGTTCTCACAGTCACACTGCACCATCATTTCCGTTCATAACAAACTATTTCCCCATTGAAATGGAGAGTATTTCATAGGACGACAAAGGCGAGAACAGGTGTTTCTGGAATGCGTCGCTGAAAAACTCCAAATGAATTTTAAAGAGACGAGGTTAACAGCTTCGAAAAGCTCCTTTCGTCTCAGCGAATTATGCTAAGTGTTCACAAAACATTGGTCTAAATATAGGGCTGGAACGCGTCGCAGATTAGCTTGCACAGTGATGGGTCTATAAGACGGCGGTGCAGAGCTGTCTTCCTTTTTTTGACTGGCACGGCTTTGAACCCCAGCGCTCAAATTCACTCCACAGTGGATAAATATCTGCGTGGGTGTGTGTGTGTGTGGGTGTGTATCTTCATGCACTAACCAAGGGTGAATGGTTTTTCTGTGTTCAGAGCAAATCCTATGTGTTCAACTGTTTGCTTTAAATCGCTGACGTGTAAGGCATACAGGGCACTGCGGTAGAATGAAAATGACGCTACTGGAGTTTATTTTAGAGCGAGAGCACCTTCCTCCTGGCTGTTAAAAGGCATTAAAGAAAGACTGACACTTTGGCTCTTGGGGCTAACTATATCACACAGGCTCGCAACCCCCCGAAAACATCGCACGGTTCGACTTGCTCGAGTCCTGTTTCAACGAAGACACCCATGCTCCAATACTGGAGACTTGCCTTTGATGTGTAATCACACATGCGCATGTCTACCACTCACACACTCACACAGGCACAATACATTTGCTGAGATAAAGTGACTGCAGTGTATGACCCATTTTGCAGAGGCAGGGTTTTGCTTTCATAACGATGGGGTGTGAGTGAACGCGTGTGTGTTTGAATGCACAACCAGTATCTTACACCGGGATGATGCAGCACGACAGGCTTTTAAATCTTGAAAAGGAAGTGCTAGGCTGGTTTCTGGTAAAAATGCTACTGTCACACGTCCAGTCATAATGCCGTTAGCCATACTCCCCCGGGGCGACAGGCAAGCCAGTACTGAAAGTACCCACAAGTCGCACGAAAAAGGGGAAGCATTATCTTGAGTTTAAAAAAATTCAAAAATCTAGTTCAGGGGGTGTGTTGTGAAATATATTTCATGTTCCTTAAGTGTGGCGACAAGCCTCGAAAACCCCTGAACATGCTCCTCAAGCAGTTAATAATCATTGTTTCACGGTGTTGGAGGAGCGAGGCGGAGATAATGTTTTGTGTCGAGATAACGCGTTGCCTTATTCCTGCCGCCTCCCGTTAACGCACGAGACAAATGGAATGGGCGCATCGCCTTGGAGCCATCCAAATGAGGGTGTCTGCCGTGAAGTGAAGTGAAGTGAAGTGAAGGAGGAGGAGGAGGTAGAAGAGGGAGGGGGGCAAGTGCCACAAAAATCAGGGAGCGGCTGCTCGACCCTCGCGGCGCATCACGGCAGCAGTCAAGTGAATGTGAAAACAAGAGAAAGCTTTGCGGAATATTGATTTAATGCCGCAGCCTGAGCAGGGGGAAGATGCGCGCTCCAGATTACATGCGCTCTATTTCCCACTCATACAGAACCTTGAGTTCCTCTGCCTCCACACTCCAGAGAACCAGGGAGAGACAGAGAGACGATGTTCTTTTAAGTGTTGTTGCCCTCTGTGAAGTCCAACTGTGTAGAAAATCAATATGGAAATATTAAAAAGAGGAGAGCAGCAAAAATATGTTAATCATATTACGCTCCCTTTGTTTCTATACATGTAGAAGAGAATATCAAGGGATCTTCTCGCTCTAACCTCCCACCACAGCACCTCCTGCATAGGTTACCCTTCCTTTCAATTAGCTCCCCTTCTCCTAAATAATAAATTAGCTTCGGAACTTGTTAGGATCAAAAATTTATTGTAAAGGCTGGTTTAGGTCTTGGCAACACTAGCTAGAAAGCGCCAGGACAGCATGAAGCCACCACATTTCAGAAGCTGAAGGTGAATGTGTTTGTTCTCATAGTAGAGTCATTTAAGTGTCAAAGACTTCTCAGGTTTTTGTGTATTTTAACATCTTTTCCATCGTTTTTTATTATCAGCTTATGGAAATGACACAATCCTGTTTCTTGGATTTGAGCCACGATGATTGCTTTGTTAAATGTCTTATTAGTACAATTCCTGATCCACCTGCACCGGTTCATTATCCAGCAAATCATCCAGGAAGACGATGCAACCAATCAAACTACACGAGCCACAAATTAGATGATGAGTTTCTGTTCTTGTATTTGAGTATGTAATTGAGGTTACATTACATGACACGAAATCAGACACAAGTATACACGTGTTGGAGAAACAGAACTCTTCTCCAAAGTAAAAGAGTAAAAATGTTATCAGTGCAACTTCAAACCACTGAAAAAAGTCTTGTATGAGCCACATAAGGGATGAAGGTCGACTGACTGACAGACAGTATGATAATTTCTGCCAGTATATCAAACTGCCACCCTAATGGGTGCAGTTACAGCTCCCTTGCTGACTTTATAGATTATTTTTTTAGTCATCCTTTTACTCGTGATAATGCCGAAAACGTCAAGTTCAAATTGTGCCTCACTTAGATTAAAGTGCCCACATCGTCAAGTTGACAGCTGCTCAAAAGTTGATGCGTATAGACTCACCAAACATTTTCATTAATTCCTCTTTTTTTTTTTTTTTTGGAAGCGAGAGAGAGGAAATGGAATGCGTGCATTTCCCCACGCTGCCCTCCGTGTAACTCTGTGCGTCGATGACAAAAAACAGATCTTTGGAACAATTTGTTACTTACTGCCCCCCCCTTCCCCACCCACCCACCTCCTCACCAACCCCCCCCCCGGCTGCTGAAAATTATGAACAGTGAGCCGCACTCACATTCTTGCGCACAGCCAAGTGAGGAGGCGCCTCCGCTCCCGTCCTGGGCCAATGGCGCACAGAGCAGCCTTATTATACTTATCCCCGGCTGGCCAATGGCGCACCTCTCCCCTGCTCACATGACGCCTTTCTGTGCGCTCCCTCTCCTCTCAGCGCTCAATCCCGGCGAGTGCAGGCATCACTGAAGACCTGACACCGGCGGAATCGGACGTCCACTGTCCTCGGCAGAATTAACCAGGTGTTATCTTATGCAAACTTTATCGCCGTCAGATGAAGATGACCATCCCGGCGATGAGGATGAGCGCGCTTCGGTGGAGGAGCAGACTTTTTTCCGTCTCCAAACGAGCGGAGAGGCACAGGGGCGAGACAATAACGCCCAGAAGTTATTGAAATGAATCGTAAGTAGGCGACGTTGAATATTTTCCTCTTCTAATCGCTTATTTATTGCTACAATTCCGGAAACTTGTAGTTATATCTATCCTCTGGTTCTACTTCTACGCAAGTCGACTTCAGTTTTACATTTATGACTGCATGTGTCACTTTTGCACCGTATGCTTTCTGTCCTTTTTATCTATATTTAAACATTTTAAAATGCTTTAAAGGCTTTAATATGACTTCACTTGCTGCTCGACTGCTCTCTAAGTTCATTTTGTGCTGTCCACATTCTTTGAGCGTCTCTGTGAATTTTTCTCATTGTGGATGTGTGGCTGTCTGCGCACAGCGCCATAGCATGAAATATAGATAGAAAGCACACGGTAAACCCGATGACCCTAGCCAGGCAGGCTGTGCAACCGGTCCACACGGCTCAATGAGGACAATTAGGGGGGGACAAGAGCGAGAGAGAGAGAGAGAAAAAAATGGAGTACTTGAAGCGCACTAAAACAGGGCTGCACTTCACTTCAACCCGCCAGGCAGGATAAGGGTGGATCTTCACTAACCTTTTGTGACACTTCCAATGCAGGATATGATAAAAAAAAAAAAAAAAAAAAACCTTCCTTAAGTTTAGACTCAGGTCAGACTCACATTAACGACTGAAATACTTGTTTTTTCCTCCCCCAGAATGGAGTTGTTCCACCCAAACAAGCGTTTATGTCAATTTCCAGTGGATTTGACAGACACTCAATGAGGTCATGTCATTCACTGAACCTTTTTATTGATTGGAAATTAGGGGGTAGCGGGGTCAGGGGAGGAGGAAAGGGGGCTGTTGCAAAATGCATGTACATTTCAGGGGCAAAGCAAAAAAATGGGTGCCCTCTGATTTTCCGTGATTTCTGCACAATCAGAGGGAAAGAGCGGGGGACCGGGGCCATTTGATGTTTTGAAAGGCTTCAGATGGCTTTAATTAGGACCTATAAAATCTGTCTGCCCCATTCTCTGAGGCGGCGCTCTGGAGGAGCAAGAAGGGAGGGGAGATGACAAAAAAAAAAGAAAGAAAAGAAAACCGATACAGAAAGTCACTTCGGCAAAGGATTGTCTAATGAAATTTTTATAACCTTCCTTTTTCTTCTCGTTGCTCCCTCCCTCGCCTCCCACCCTCCCCTCCTTGATGCTGGTGGTATGTAGGCAGCCCTCTTATTCCCTCTTTGTCTGGCTGCTGTGTTATCTACACTCACCCCCCTCAATCCTCCCACCACCCTCAACCTAACTACCACCTACAGTCGGCCCGACCCCAGACACCTGAAGGCTAGACATAATGATCAAGAGAAGTTCCAGTCTGTCTGGAGCACAGCCAGTTGTTTGAGGTTTTCTTCTTCTCCTCTTTTTTTTTTTTTTTTTGTCCTCGTGTGCTTGGCTGGCGCTGCTCGTGCCTCTGCCTCTTTCCCCTTTCTCCATCCACAATCAAGACACGCTATGTTGTTTTTGAGTTTGTGTGTGTGTGTGTGTGTGTGTGTGTGTGTGTGTATGTGTGTGTGGTAAAGGGTTGTAGTTTCATCGCTACTGCTACTATTGCTGCCACTGTGTAGTCTATATGGATCTTGGATGAAGTGTGGGTGACTCACACAGCTGCAATACACACACTCATGAGGAAACATCAAAGACTTCTTCTGTGTGTGTGTGTGTGTGTGTGTGTGTGTGAGAGAGTGAGATTTCAGCTATGCTGTTCTTTCTGGCGAGAATATAGTTATGGCTATGGTGCCTTTAGTTATCTCTTTTTTTCTGTTTTGTTCAATTAGCTGGGGTTTATACGCGGTGATACTTTTTAAAAGTGTTACATTAATTGTGCGATATCACTGCTCAGAATTTTTCTGTGGCGCATACAGGAGGCTTGGAAGCTTGATGTTTTCCTGTTTTAAGTTTTTCCAGCACGATGACGTTAAAGCTCAGTCTCGGAATTCAAAAGAAATGGGGTCACTACAGTAATTATTCCATTATTAATGAACGGGAGTTGAATCTTTTGAGCTGCAAAACTGAAGATTAAAATATATTTCCTGCTCGGAAGATTCCATTTTTTACTGTAGGTTTTAAATGAGGCCCTCAGACGCTGTCTGTCGCACCTCGACTCTTGACGGTGGGCGTCTTTGAGTTGGGGCTTAAGCCGAAGTGGCTTCTGAAGTCAAGCAAAAAGAAAGAGAAAACGCTAATTAGACGTGGGAGATGATAAAAAAAAAAACTGCTTCGATACGTGGATTTCTTTGACAGACAAATTCATTTTCAAGAGTGTATTCCGTTTGATGAGTACATGTCTTTGTTTTCTCGATGTGTGTTGGTTAGGGATTACATCATTTGGCTGCTGCTGGGTTAGCTAGATAAGAAGCTAGCTTGCTTTATGGAAAATGGCTGGTTGGAGTGGAGTCTTTGTTTGGCATCTTCGCTTGACAACACAATGAGAATCCGAACAAGTGCAGCTGCATGCGATGTTTTCCTGTTTCCAGTCGGACGGGCCTAATAATTTCGGAGTTATTTTTGTCAACAATGTCCATTTTTGATAAACTTGTTTGTTAGAAGATTATCCCCTGACAGCTGGAATGGGCTCTCTCTGTACCCGCAACCTTGTAATCTTCTCAGATATGATGCTTTGAAGAACAAGTGTTGGTGAAATTTGCACAGAGCTTCAACCGAAATCCCGCCACTTGTTTTTGTGTGTTTTCTGTGTATCATGGCATCAAGGAGATTGAGGATGTCTCTTCCTCTGCCACTAGCCTTTGAAGGGGGAAGTAATAAAAAGCTCAATGGGTGCAACAAGCTGTTCTTCCCTCCTACACTTTGAGGCTTTCTACCTGGAGATGAATAGGAGGCCCCTCCATAACGAAGGGGGAGAAGACAACATTTTATTGAAGGCTGAGGATGTGGGGGGATGCGCCATAGCTTATAGACACTTGGTGTGAAATAGTCCAGTTGTACTAGTTTACAGGATAGCACCGTCTACTGAGTCTGAAATGAGAGTTATTGTTATTTTTTGGGTTTTGTGAAGGCATCATTTTCTAACTCTCTAATCTGTCAACATGTTTGAGTACAAATGATGTTAATCTATTAAGGTTTATGTAGGTCAGAAGGGTGTTATGTAAACATTAACAAATTGTCCTGGTAAATCCTGCTTTAAGTAAAATACTGTCTTCATAGCGTGATAATGCAACATCCATGTTAATGACATTGGACAATCACAAAGCCACAGATTAGGATTTACGGTAACCAGATTTATGCGTGAAGGAGTGAAGTCATGGTCAGGAATGTAAATGGCGGAGTCATTCAATTACCACCATGCCCTTTCCTGGGAAAAGTCCCCAGCCGTGAAGAGGTTAATTGTTTTTGAATCTCCATCCGAGGGGAGAAAATGGGCGAACGGGAGGGATAATTGAGCCGCTGATAGTTGAGTGGATTATGGATTACTGCGCCTTTCCAAAGGAGAAAAGAAAAGGAGGTGAACGAGAGAGGAAGGAGAGAAGGAAAAAGGGAAGGAAGGGGTGTGTGAAAGGCCCATGTTGTGCGATGCAGCCGCAGGGGTCGTCTGGCCTTCCTAGGAAGATGGAGAACTCCAATCCTGTTTAGCCCACGAGGTGACCCTTGACCCCTTCGCATGCTCCTCCCTGCTCCAGGTGCAAGCCCTCACTGCTGGCAGCTCGCACGCAGACACACACTGCAAGCTAATTTTTCACACACTCTCCAAGCACTGGGGGGGAAACGCCGTATGAAAACGCAGATCCTCTGAACATTTCTACCCCCCCTGCTTTCTTCATGCCATTCTATTGTCAGGGGTTAAAGATCCAAGGCTACTTGTTGGGGTGGGGGAGCGCTGTGATAATACAAGGCCTCTCTTTTTTCTTCCTTATGTTCTCGCTGAGAAAATGGATGACTGTCTTTAAAGGGGGGAAAAAAAGATGATCTGACATGGTGCAATAATCACAGGAGTGTTAATCAGAGGGATGTCATGTATAATTACTACAGTGTTTGATAACACCACAGCGAACCACCTCAGGCCATTAGCAAAAAGTTTCCCGATGCCATTAATGGGCATTAATAAAATTCAAGAAAACCCGGATGGAACGAGCCCTCTGCATGGCCCACTGGTTAAAGCACTGTAAGGTTAATGAACCAATTTACATACTTGCTGCTGCCATCTGGGTGGAGTGACGAGGCAGATGCTTCCTACTCTGTACTGTTGCTTTGTGCTGTTCAACACAGAGGAATGTGTCAGGTCCACGGAGGTCAATGGGCGCATTTAACATTTAGCCTGTGGTCAAAAACAATCATGAATGAACTGGAAATCGATGATGCTGAAAGGTCCTGTAGAAATACAGTAAGCATCGACCACACTGCTTTCGTGTTTAAATTCGTTTAACCCCATTGCAAATGGGTGAATAAATGAGTGGAGGTTGAATTTGACTGCCACTTTAGGTCACCAGCCTTAGCTATTGTTCTACATACAAAGTGATGCTCAAGTGTGGATTGTACCCCGACCCTCTCCGATAAAAAAAAAATAAAAAAGTCAGAAAGAGGGGGAGTCATCTGACCCTCAGGCGATGAGAAACTTGACAGGGGCCATCCACAAGAATCACCATAGACGATGCTATATACTGGGGCAAAAAGAGGATTAGTGTCCGTCCACCTCTCTGCCATCCTCATCTGGGTGATCACATTACAAATAGAGCATTCTCGAAGCGCTCTTTTAGCAGAGGAACACAATGAGGTCTGTCGGCGATCAATAAAGCAGTGTGAAAGCAGAGGGATATACTTAAAAAATCAAAGGCTCTGGCTGGCAAGGCCATCATCTCGCCCCGTCTGCTGGAATCAGATAAGGGAGCGGGGCCTTGCAGGAAAGGTTGTTCGGCCCCAGGGCTGCTCGACTTGACGGATATCCCTCCTACTGGCACCCGTCGCAGACTGATTCCATCTGTAAATGGGAGAAACCACAACGTTTCTGCATCTATCTGGTCCCTCTCTGATACTGTACATGTGGAAG